TCATAGAAAATTTGTAAGTCATTTTCACGGTGAAAGAAAAATCCCTTCATAGGCCTACTTACAGCAAAGACAATTCAGCATTCTTCTCCTTTCTAACACAGATGAGACTTTGACCTTTTCAACCTTAATTCACGAACTGCTTGGATATGTTGGAGAAACCCTGACCACAAACCAAATTTGACCTCCAGATCAAGCATGTCTACATGTACATGTATTTCAAGTTACAACACAGACAATACCCAGTACTTCCATAACATCAATCTGGCTTCCACGATTTGAAGTGTTGGCTTTTAAGATCTGAATTCAATAGGATTCTCAAGGGTACTAAGGCCAACATGTATTGTACATGTAATGTTTACACATGTACACCTACATGTACATGTACACCAGAAACTTGACAACTAAATATCACCGAGTCAAGTTCCTGGGAAGGCAAGGGCAGAAGACATGGATCTGAATACCAGCATGCATAAATGGAACCACAAGGCCAACACAAGATTCTCTCCTGACCCTGTGATTGTAACAATTGGACACAAATGTACCAGAGAAAAACCTACATGTATATAACAGTTTTATATTCTCATGTACATGTATTAAGCAGAGCAAAGGTGTACATGTACATGTAATAAAAATCAATGATTTAGAACATGTATGAAAGCCTCCTTCAATTCGGAGAGCAGCTTGCTTTCCAGCCTGGGAGTGTAGCTAGCACCCTTAATTCCAACTCAGCCACATCCAGTGTCATCTTGAGGTACATGTATCCCTTATCCAACTGACAGCTACAACGTACAACGTACATGTAGCAAAGTTAATCGTGCAGCTTTATCTTTGAAAAGCCATTGAAACACAAAAAGAAATTACATTTAGGAAAGAACACTTCTGGCTTTACAGCCTCACCATAATACTAATAGAGAACATTTCATTCAACAAATTGTACAGATCATACATGTACATGTACGTACATGATGTACAATTACATGTACATGATGATCCCATACATGTACGTACATGATGTACAATTACATGTACATGTTGATCCCATACATGTATGTACATGTACTATACACTTGTAAGTGCTTGCATTTACTTTCTGTAACAATAACCTTGTTCCAACACATGTAGTCTCAATTGTATTAACCACTTCAAATACCAGGATATCCTGATTATACCTGTTGCAGGAAGTCATAAGATGTTATCCAATCAATGCAATGATGGATAAATACCGGCACCTATATGACTATGCACAATGTGCATACGGTACATTACATGTTCAGAAACTTGCATGTAAGTATACCTGGTACATATACACTGTTCACGTGTACATCAATCAGTTCAGGAACTATCCATTCACTGAAATGAAAGCTCAAAGAGGAAAGTCTAGCTACCGCTACATGTAATGCAAATATACATGTGGTACTAAGGTATTTTCAATTTTCACAAATTTATCTTGAGATCTCAATGCTACAGCAGGTACATGTATTTGTAGCAATCCAAGAAAGCAGGTTTTTACATGTACACAGGTACCGGTACAGTGCAAGTTTGTACCTGTACATGTAAAACATCTCTCGTTCAAACACGAACGTGTATTGGCTGGTTCAAATGGACCGATAAGGACAATGTCGTTTCTCTATGGTTGGACCATTCACCCAATGCAAGTACCGATTGTGGTACACAGGACATTTTCCCTCGGTTCTACACATGATCATACATATAGGCCTTGTCAAGTCAGTTTTTGAAAAAAGGCACTGAGGCCAAAAACAAAACACAGTTCTGCTTCCGATTACATGCCTCCCCAAGATAGGGTCAGTACGTGTAGGTTGGACAAATTTTTGTGCTCATTGAATGGCATGAATGGGGATGAAAGCTTCCACAAACACACCTTAATCAATGTAAGAAGTATCTGCAGTGGACAAATCTCCACAATTGCAGACATTCACACCACTATGCCCAACACTAGTCAGGTAATCATGACAGCAAACTGGCAAACAATGTCCGTATATCGAGTGGTAATAGTGCGTTATGCATGCAGCTAGGGCGGGAAGTAAACCTCATGAAACGACAGAAAATTTTGAGGAAACACGCTCACTTCAACATCTCGACCTTTTCAAACACTAGCAAAACAACCTCAAATTAAATTCATGAGCACAGAAAATACATATATAGACAAGACATCAAATTCTGTGAATTAACTTGCAGAGATCTTTTGGCAACATCAATGTTTTTACAACGTGCAACTATATGTATACAGCTGTTTGTATTGTTTGTAAAAATGCTATTTCAGCTAGAATTCATAGACAGGTTGCTGCATTTCCATCATGGCTTCTTTTGCATGGGCATGGCCCGGGTATTTGCGTGCACTTGACAATTTTTCAGCCAATTTTGAAGACAGAAGTTCTAATTCATTTGATTAGCTGTAAACGTGTATATACGAAAAAGTACTGGTGAAGTGACCTATCGCCCTGCAAATTGTTGCTGATTTTTTTGGCTCCAGTGATTTCAACAAACTCAAATGTCGAAGTGTAAACTACAAATCTGGCCTACTCCAGAAAGTTTGAGAAGAAATATATTTTACCTTTCAAATAGAACTTGTCTTAGAATGCGAACTGAAGAACAGCACAAAAAAGACAGTAGGTTTTAAATTCAAACGATCCAGAATTTAAGATCTGGAACTAGAAAAACGACGATCAAGTGTCGTGACTTTATTTGCACGTAGATGTTGTGGAATCCTGTCCTCCTAAAAAAACTCAACTTGACCGTTTTTGTAGAAATAAGTATTACAGAAATAATTCCTATTGTCCTGAAATTGCATCTGTTTCCTAAATCAGAACCAGCACTATTAGTATTTAACTGACACAGACAAACCTCGATCCCAAGGACATGAAGGAGAAGCACAATTTAAAACTAACATGACTGACAAACGCTTAGCATGCGATATGCTTGGCATGGAACTTTGCCATGTTTGGAAGGCTAAGAAGCCATACCCCAATTAGACTGCTCGTTTTTCGCTATTTCTAAGTTTTCCAGAGCAACATCTCTCTCCAATCCATCAAACTGTTTCAACTGCTCGCAACATATCACATATTTTCACCAACTTACATGTATCTCTATAAACTGTGAAATTTTTCCTGATTCTTTTTAAACACGGCAAACGCCTGTTTGCTCATGCCAGCGCCATGTTCACTTGTCCCCAGGTGCAACGGTGGTATTTCATGAGCTCAAATTAATAAAGGATTGAGGTTGGAGTGAAAAAGGGCGAACAAAACACAAGCACTTTCGCATTTTTATACCCTTATTTTTCACATTAAAGAGCAAAATATCCGGATGACAACAGACAAAATATTGATTCATAGTATGTAAGGTGTCTATTAGAGCAAAAAGTAAGTTGCTACTCAAAACTCTCAACGAAACTGCAAGCTATGATTTAAGGCCCACGGTCTAAATGCAAAAGGAGGCGTTTTCTGAAGACAAAAAAGACACACGATTTATTTCTGTACTTTTGAAATGTTTTAAAAATCAGTTTTTTTTAACTTGCCGACAAATTTTTTGGGTAGCATAAAAATTAGGGTCAGTCAGGAAACCAGAAGCAGAATTATTATTTTTGGGGGGGCCTTAACAGGATCCACAGTATGACCAGACTACTCATCGGAAGTGCATCTTTATGCTTGAGGGACATCACACTTTACACCAGTACACCAATACCACACAGTGGAGGTCATCATGGCCATTGTAAAAGTCCAACCTTAACTTCATTAACAAAAGATGGGTGTGTTCACCAGTTTGTGGAATTGTGGTCTTGACCTGCTGTTTACTCGAAACAAGACAATCACCTTTGATGACATTTCATCTAAAATGCACTGTTTATGCCACATACATGTACATGCAAGTACATGTACATGTACCGATGATTAAAACTCAACCATAACGCTGCTACGTTACCTCCCCTTCCACAAAATCTGAGCAAGTTCATACGTCATCTGAGAGTAGGGTTGGCATAATGGTTCTAGGGAGTTGGGTTAGCATAGTACACAGATTTCTTTCCTCACCTTCCACCTCTGCGGTCTGGGTTCGATTCCGGGCTTGGTCCATATGCCGATTGGGTCGTCAGTCCCTACCTGATTTCATGGGTTTTACCCAGAATATTCCTCTGGGGTTTTCATCCCACCTCTAAAACTGTTACTGCAAGCTGCAATGCCTAGAGCACTTTTGAGGAATCATTGGTATCATTACCAGAAATAAATAATACTAATAATCGTAACTGAACATGACAATGTATTGAATGTACACATGTACATTGTACATGTACAATGTACATGTAACATTTGCAGACTTGATACCTAATTCTCCACATCAGGATTTTCTTTGCCAGTGCATGGAGGACTTGTAAACACATCACAGTAATATCTGTACAATGTACATGTACATGTATGCAATACCAAGTGATATTTATTCCTATCCCAAAGTTTCAATTATGCCTATGGCTTTTGAACTCAACAAAAAGGCTCAAACTAGTTCAAAGTCTTTGTGTAAGAGTACACAAAAATGGCCAAGTCAAACTTAATAACAGACTTTAGCCATAGGACATGTATCTTGTTTATAAAAGTTAATATTTATAGCTGAAAATAATTCCAAACCTGAGACAATGTGGCCTTGAAAGAATACCAGTGTCAGCAGTGTCAATGAGAATACTGCTGGGTTTATGAATATTCACCAGACTCTATGAACCTTGTAAACAGCCTGATATTGCTAAGAAGGTTAGAGTAACTGTTTCCAGTGCTATATATGTACATGTGTACAAGTATTTCAAATTATGCACACACTACCTGTAGCATATTCACAATTTACAATGTACAAGGAAATATCATCATTAGCCATGTTAACTCTTGCAAGTATTTCAGCTTTTCTCAGTTTTCTGATCTGCACAACTTAACTCAACATTTTTCTCAATGAAGGTACAATAACCAGCATATGGTATTTGTTCAAAACATTAAATGAATACATACTTGTTATCTGGCTTTGGGGTTGACAGTAAAAATCTTCCCTTGTCACTGAAAAACAATCAGATATAGCATACTCCACTGTCAAAATTCAAATTGTAATTTGTATGACCCAATCACCGAATAAATGCACTGAAACAAATTATACAAATTCATTTGGGCTAATGGACAACATGAGCACAGTGAAAAGAGTACAAAATGTTTGCCAAATGTAATAACAATGAAACACATTTTTTTTCAAGTTAAAGTTAGCCATGTCATGAATAGTGATGCATGTACATACCTGCACCTTTTGCTATGCATGAATTGAAGTTGATTTTTTAAATAAGCCTTAAAACAATCCTTCCCGAGTAAAATACACACTACTGTTTTGGTAACCATTTGTAGACTGTATTATTTTTGGCCTAAAACAACATTTTTGAAAGCCCAAGATGTGCGTAGCGGCCAACTTTTGAAATCAAACCAAGCACAGCATATACTGACAGCCATCGGAACAACTTCTCAATACCAGTGTCTTTTGTAACACTTGAAGCCCCTGCTCCTAAGCGATATTTGGTCACTTATTCTTGTAATGGAGAAATTCATTCATTAAGGAAATCTGGACTTTCAGAATGGTACAAGTTATGCCAGACTGTGATATACATACATGTACAAATGTACATGTATTTGGCACAAATTTGTTTAGTTTTAACATTTAGAAAGCATGCTTAAATTGAGATGGATGAAAAGGATGTATTATTAATGTTGATGTACAAGTACATGTATGTATGATTACAAATATGTGCAACTTATATTTTTTGTTTATAAGCACCATGGTTGAGGGTGTTTTGTATGTTCTGACTCCTTTGTGGGTAAGTTGCCATCTTCTTTTTTACTGAAATAAAAATTGCGGAAGTCAGACTTGATTACAACATGCTCCCTGCAAATATTTACATGTACATGTAAGTGCATTATTAATTTACTACAAACCAAAGAAAAACTACACCAAATTAGACAGGTATTCTGGTGTCACGCCCAACCAAAAAGATGAAGAGTGACTCACATCAACCTAACTCAATTTTGGTTTCAAACAGGTGAACTTAATTTGTATAGGGAGACAACAACACTCACAAATTTACATTTATGCACAAACCCTCATTTGTCTTGCACCAAAAGTGATTTGTCATAATTCTCTACTTACATGTACACTCAATCATCATTCAAATTTGTTGTTTCCAAATGATCTATTTTTAATTATTCCATGGACTACAATAGTCATGAATATGTACATGTGTTAATACAACTATTGATAACGCATGACCTGAGCACATGTATCAAGTTAGTGTCAAGTCACTGTGGAGAAATCAAGTACATGTACAGCACACACTGAACTGGTTCCTACCGCATAGCTGAAAAGATAACAAGAATAGATGAGTAGAGCGCCAGACTACAACTCAGGATTCCACAGTGCAGGGCCACGATCGCATGAAAGAGCAGGCAACACGGTAACTGTCCAAACTTTTTAAACAGAGTTGAAACCTATTGAAATCTCAGATGAGATTCACCAAACTTGGGTCTTCTCTCTCTGCATGAATATTCTTTTCTAATGTGTTTATTTCAATTTTAAGTCTGACGTACTTTGTAGTGGTCCTCAAGGACAATTTGTCCAATTTCGTTGTCGGCATGAACACTCGGTGGTACACGTTTGTATATGTATATGTACATGTTGCAGCCAATCCATGCACAGTCAAGTATTTTTTTGGATATACTCTCTTTGTATGTATGTTTGTGGAACAGAACATTTTCCTTCGGTTTTCTGGTTGTTCTCACTGATGTTTTTTAGCTTTTGTTTATAATATTAGGACCAAACTTTTTTATTTGGCACAAACATTCCCTGTTACACAGTACAGCCTTTAAGCTTTTGATGATAAAATAAGCTTGGAATGATGGAAGTTTTCTTTATGATTGAAATGACAAATGTCAAAAAAACCCCGAAAGTACTAACAATGATACATACATGTAGGTGAACAATATTATGTTAATTTTTAAGTGGGTACGCCTGTACATGTATACATGTTTAAGTGGGTATGCCTGTGCATGTATACATGTTTAAGTGGGTATGACTGTACATGTATACATGTTTAAGTGGGTATGCCTGTACATGTATACATGTTTAAGTGGGTATGCCTGTACATGTATACGTATACATGTTCGAATGTAGAATAACCATACACATACCAGTACATGTTGAGTTGAAAGCCCAAGAAAATGTTTAAAATGTAATTTTCAAAATACAATGAACGCTGAGGTATTATACACTGTCTATTTATTGATGAGCATAAAAAATGTCATATCATGAACTTCTGAAAGAAAGAACAAGCATGTGTAAACTATAACTGTGCACTAATGAAAAAGGAATCATGTAAGCCATGGTTTATTCCCCTACTGGTACCCAGCAAAAGCAAAATAAAGCACAAAGCCAACCCTACCAAAAAAAACAGTGGAGAAGAGGGCAGAAGTCAGTCTCATACTGCCAGAAGGGGTGAGATTGACCAATGATAAAAATAGCTGATAACAGCTGAAAAAAGGCATAAAAAAGCTAAACAGTGAAAATCTCCTATACTTTTGTCCACAGCCAGTGAGGACAAAAAGCTGAAATCCAAAACAAAAAAAGCTGAAATTAGCTAAAAAGCTGAGAAATCGCACCCCGTGCAGCCACTTTGCTTTTAACAATGACTGCCTGGGAAGATGGAGGCTTAAAACACAGCTATTACACTTATAATAACATGTTACATGTAAGTGTTAAACAGCACCCTCATAATAATAATGTCCAGTCCCCCCCCCATGCATCCGCAGAACACCAGATTAGACCAAAAAAGTGCTCAGGCAAAAAGTCATTACACAATCAATTTCGTTCTGCCATTACCAGCTTTTGATCTGCCATATTCTATAAAAGGTAGAGTTGGGGTTCCCAACCCTATTATTATTTTTGTTCAGACTGTGGGGACCGGGAAACAGTCTAACTCGGAACACATTCGAGCTGTGACTAGGGGCTGCATTCGAGCAAGCTATTTGTGTTCTGCAGGAGTATAGACCCATGGGTCAACAAGGGTATACTCCCATCGCACATACAGAAATATAATGCGCATGCACCAAACTCGGGTTGAACTGGAGGAACCGCGCGAACGCAGCCAACCACTACTGGTCCATATTGCCTAGTACCCAGGTCATGTGTCATGTCATTTCATGTGTGTGCAAGTAAAGTATACACGTGTGTTCATACATGCGTGGCACTGGGTGACATGGGCCGGTGATGAGCGATCAGCCCTGATGAATGTTGGGCATAATTAACGTAATTCTTACACAAAACTAATAATACATGTACATGTTAAATTAGACGCCATAATCCTACATATTCGGTTGACATTTTAAGAGCTGTTATTGATATGTTAGTCGGACAATTTGCTCAAGCATCTTTGATTTTGTTCGGACAAACACAGTAAGTACTCGGAAAATGTCCGATGTCCAACCCTAATTTCACACTCGGCATCCGCCGTGTTGGGCAGATGCCCTAACCTTTAACTTTATCTTGGCTAGAACCTTGTCCCAGTCCAAGGTACTGTATTTGTTACTGAGACTCTAGTCCGAGTCTGAAAAATGGGACCAAATCAGAAGAGTCAAAGTTATGTCATGCAAGTGACTGTTCCTCAGTTTGCTTTATGGTTTTGAAGTACATGTACCCCTGTTGATTGAAAAAACAGTTCTAAGACAAAATGAACTCTTTACAAACACAAATGCCCTGCCAAGCCCATGCCTAAACCCACAATTTTAATTTTTGGATTATAAACAAGATTTATCTTGATTGCTTTAGCCATTGTGACCTTTACCCTTGACCTTTTGGGCGTAAATGCAATAGGTTTGTGGGATTACCCAGAAGAATGCACAAGCCAAATTTTTCACTACATGTAAGTATTTCTCAAGTTATGCTTAAATTTCTAATGTTTTAGTCACTTTCACCTTTCAGACCCAAATGCAATAGGCTTCCTAGGATCACCTAGAGTAAGTTCAGACACAAAGCAGGCCTCCCCTACATGTATTTCTCACAATATCATGTTGACAAGTTTTCTATTGTTTTAGCCATTGTGACCTTTGATCTTTGGCCTTTTGACCCCCAATGCAATAGGCTTCCTAGGATCACCTAGAACAAATTCAGACACAAAGTAGGCCTCCCCTACATGTATTTCTCACGTTATCATGTTAACAAGGTTTCTCTTGTTTTAGCCACTGTGACTTTTGATCTTTGGCCTTTTGACCCCCAATGCAATAGGCTTCCTGGGATCACCTAGAGCAAGTTCAGACACGAAGCAGGCCTCCCCTACATGTATTTCTCACGTTATCATGTTGACAAGTTTTCTATTGTTTTAGCCATTGTGACCTTTGATCTTTGGCCTTTTGGCCCCAAATGCAATAGGCTTCTTAGGATCATTTACAGCAATTTCCAAACCAAATTTGAAGTTCATACACAAAGTAATTCTCAATTATCACACTGACAAGAATGTTCCAGACAAACACATGCACCCACACACACTCCCGCCCACACAAGGCCCAGGTGAAAACAATATGCCCCATTGATTTCATCACCAGGGCATGAAATTCAAGAAATAAAAATTCCCAGTAATACAAACTAATGAGGCATGAAATATCTTCTATCTTATTAACACATAAATTTTGGAACGAGTGTCATATCTGGCCACCACATCAATATATTTCCCTCCAAGCAAAACAAAGTCCACCTCTCCTATTTTCATTCACGACAAGCCTCTTGGGAAAAACAGCACTAGACATTATTTATGAGTTACATGTAGTAACACTAAAATTGAAAGCTAGACTTAATTTTCATATTTAAACCTAACTTGAAAACATAAATGAAAAAATAAAATGAAATTTCTTGACAAAGTTAAACTACCGATAGGGTACATATTTTGCTGAGGAGTGCACTTATTGAGAAAATCATGTTTTGTAGAGGTAAACTTTTACAACAAAGAACTTGAGATTAATTCAAGATTTGATGA